AATACACACAAAAATGTGAAGATACTATAGTATCGCTAAGACGTTTGTCTTAGTTTTTGACTTCAATAGTATTTCAACTTCCGCCGAGAAAAACGAAGAAAAACAGTGGTTAAAATACAATTGTCTTTCACAAATACATAAAATAGGAAGGAATATTAAGTTTCACACTTAAATCATTACCATTTTTGACAATAAAAAAACAAAATTAAAGCTGGTTTCAAAAAATAAAAATATTTAAGTGTTACAAATAAAAATTTGGCATTTTGTGTCAGTGTTGCCACTACTATTAACTTTCAATTTTCTCAACTATAAGGGAGTCTTTTCTCTTTATTTTACGTGGCTTTCATTTATCTAAATATCTTTTTATAATTAATTATATAGGTTAGGTTTAGTTTAGTATCGGTGTCTTCGCAAATTGTGTTGATATTTTTTTTATTCACACACAGATATGCTAAAGTTGTATTAGGTTTTAAAGTGTCAAGATGCGGAGTTCGTTAGATTTCGAGATACAACTTTTGGTAAATACGTAAAATTAAAACCTTTGTTTGATGTTTAATGAACTGTGATAAATGTTTTTATCTTAAACACTGTCTGTGATTGTATTTTTTAACAGACAACAACAATGATAAAAGACTAAGTTATTTTTTCAAATTAAATAAGAGTAAAAGTCATCTTACTTATATCATATTTCACGAGAAAACGAAGCTTTAATGTCTATAAAATAATTATTATCTGGATGATATTAGTAGTAAAATATTCTTTTCCTTTTTTCTTCTTAACTTTGCTTTTTTGCTCCTCCCGTTGCCACCCCCCCCCCCCCCCCCCCACCCCTTGGCGCGCGTACTAAATTGGTTCAATTATATAAAAAAAAAATTATATTGTTATCTCTTACAACTGGTGGTAAGGTTTTCAAATGAAGAATCTCTGTTCATAACCATATTCTTAGTTGCTGCTCAAAAAGATGTTGAAAGCTATAGACTGTATGTAGATAAGAGACAATAAGTCCAAAACAATATACCCAGTAAGTGAAACAATTTAATACAAGTGATGTCACATTGCCTCGAATAAAATGTCAAAAGTATTTTTATGGAAAATTTCTCAAATTAAATTATTAGACAATATCATAAACATTGCCCCGATTACAAGATGAGTAGCTGTAACCCCTGTCTTATGAAGTATCTGAGACAACGGAGGTACCACAACGCCCAGACCCGAGACAATAATAAAAAAGTTCATTTTCTACTTTGATCCGGCCGGGATTCAAACCCGGGACCTCGGAGACGGTGACACCTTGAAATCAGCGAGCAAAAAACTATTGAAGTTTTCCCCACTGAAAAGACAATAATTATGAGAAGACATTCAATAAAATTTTATTATAGGAGGTAACTTTATTTTAAATAGAGAATATAAAAAACGCGTCCTGGCGAATATTATATTTTAAGTTTACATTCAAAATGCTATATTGATATTCAGGTTTAAAAACAATGCTCATTAATTTTCTTTAAGCGGAGGATGTTCTGACGAAATTAGCATGCTTAAATTTTAAAATGTAATGATCTCATTGTAAAGAAAGAGTTCATTAGGACTTTATATCTTTGTTCACAAGATGACTCTGCGTCCATCATATTAGAATTATAATGAAATCAGATTTTTACAATGATCGTCGCGGCGAACAGTTTCATTCGATACCCATGCTATGAAAGTGTTTAAAGATAACTAGTCCTCCATCTTCAGTGGTTTGCCATACTGGAAAAGAGATTATTTTTTCTTAACAATGAATGAAGGTGTACAATATTTTTTTTTCAGTATACCCTCATGATTTATATAATATTAAGCCGCGTTAAGGGGGCCCCTCATATAAGATTTAAAATGATATAATTGAGCTAACTGTGCATTGTCATTTAGACTAAATATGTGTGAAGTTTCAGCTTAACCGATTGAGAATAACTAGCTTTACAATTCTGTTGCAAGTTACATTGCGATAAAATTAAAACACTTACTGCTCTTCACTTTCTGCTTTTCCGAATCTGTTTATATTCACGTAATCTTGAAACAAAATTGGGAATTTGTATTGGAGAAACTAATTTTATGCACCCATAATTTCAACTAGTTTTATTTCAAGGTCTTCTTACATAAATGATAAAAGGGCGGAATGATAAAAGACAGCGAACGACTATTTTCCCGATTTTGAATAGATATATTAAAGAAAATTTCAAAGTAACAGTATTTTACTAATTGATTTTATACATATATCGACATTACGCGTTCATTCATTTATTCATCATAAGGGGTGAAATTTTCGACAGCTGGCAATTCAATATCGATTACCCATTTTTTCATTCATTCTGTCGTTCGTACATATACTGTCTTTGTTTAATTCAAAGATTAATCGTAGATATAAGGGAGAAAAACATACTACACTTATTTATATTATATAGCTAAGCCTTGTTATCTACAAAGCTACGTCTTGATTTTGCCAAAGTTATTAAACTCATTGGCCAAAACCGACAAAAGTAGTGCGTTCGCGAAGCACTTCAAAGAAAATAGTGTCCACGTTCGTCGAGAAAACAAGTCACATTTTCGAGTGACGAGCGACGATTGAGCTAGAAGATCATAGAACAGTTAATGCAAAGTGGTATACCACAGTCTGTTTACCTCAAGCAATTTCCGAGCTTCGTAAAACCAACCGGAAGTGACTCATTCTACTGCATCAAGATAATACAAGCTCACAGACCGTTGGCCAAAAAATTAAGTATTTGAAACACCCGCCGTACAGTCCTAATTTAAACCCTTAACATTTTTTTACTTTCCAAAAACTTTATAACATCTTCGCGGTCAGCAGTTCTAGTCCGGTCAAGAAGCAGTAGAAGCGTTCAAATCGGAGATTTCCAGTACTTCTACTTCGGAATGGAATAAATGTTTTAAAAACTGGTTTGAGCGTATGGAAAAGTGTATGAAATATCGTGGAAAATGCTTTAATGTCAACACTAAAATGTTAAATAAGTTCCGTTTCTTAATTTCGTTTTAAAAGGCCCCCTCATACTAGGGTCTAAGAATTCTTTTATTACGAAAAAAAATTGTCTATTATCAACTACAAACGTTAATTTGATTGACCAGTATAAACATTAACCCCAGCATCTTATTATTCAAGTTATTTCAACTTTTAGTTTGTCTTTTTTCGTAAATTTTGTTTAGTATTATGTTCCATAGATTCATCCTTTGCGATTTATGGTTTACATATTATATCTAAATCGGTCTAAATGTAACTGCTCACATAATTTTGAACAAACTTCACTTGATAAGTTCTTTTAATTATCAATTCTTCATCATATATGTATAAAGTTTGGTAGAGATTTCTGCGAGACATAAAATCGCTCATTATATTACTGTTATAATAATGAAAATTGCTGACGATAACTTTACATTATATTCTATAGTACATAAATGCGTTACATCGATATTTTAAGAAGTTTTATTAATATTAACGATAAAGAACCGAACTTATATTTTTACATGAAACCTATATTTAGCCAAATTTTAATATGGTTATTTATCCTAATAAATAATATAAAGAGGAAAGATTTGATTGTTTGTATATTTGCATTGAATAAGCGCTGAAAGTACTGGACTTTCGAAAACTTTTCATTTACGGGAAGCTACATTATCATCCGGTGACATAGACTATAATTTATATGGGCAAAGTCGCAGAAAAACAGCTATATTGATAACTTTTGATTTAACAATGATTTAATGTAGGGCCGCATGACAATACCCAGCACTCAGTACGAAACATAACAAATGAAAATAGCAGAAAATAACTTTTTACTATTATTATTTTTTCTCTTGTTAATCGACTTCAAAATCGAAAAGGAGGAGGTTATTATGTTCGACGGCGATGTATGTTTTTTTTTTTATGTATATCACCGATATTTCCACCAATTGTTGACCGATTTTCAAAATATATTTTTTTTTATTCGACAGCTTAAATTTACCGAGGTATTTTATTTAAATCGTCATGAGATGGAATCAGTATTTTTTTCCTTTACAACAAAACAAAATACGCTTTCATCAGATATCATCAAATTATTTATAAAGACGATATAAACATATCATCTAAAAAAAAATCGATTTCATGAGTAAACTCAATGAGTATGAATATTTTTTTATGAAAGTAGGTATATTCATTGATTTCTTGGCGAATGAACCAATTTCTTTCAAACTGGCTATTTCGCCGTGACTTCACCTGCGTAAATTATAGCCTATGTACTCCGCGTATTATCTAGCTTCCCGTAGATGAAATCGGACCAATAGTTTGGGACCAGAGAAAATATTTAACAGTTTTCTTGCATCGAATAACCTCCGAAATTACTTGATCGATTTTAAAAACTTTCACCTATGGGAAAGCTACATCATACGAGGGTAACATACATATGTATGCTATAATTTACGCTAGTTAATACAGCTAGTTTCTGATAATTTCGGTTGCTTAGGTATAGGGTAAAACATTAATCACATGTTGTTGTATTAGGATATTTTTTTTATGAAAAATACGATTATTATACACATACATTTATATACGCAAAATTACATTTATTTATGAGTTTATTAATTTATAACCAATTTTACTTTACGTATATGGCACATAAAGCACTATGTAATTTCTAAAAAAACGTGAAGCTTGTCAAAAAAACAGATTTGAAAATTTGAAATTTTTTTCTTTTGGTTACAAAACCAAATAAGAATTTAGATTATTTGACTAAATTTTACATGCAAAGATATTGTAAATCGTGAATTATCCATATTTGTCTATAAGTTGGTTTAAATAACATATTTGTAACACAACATAATAAAGACATCAATTAGTAGAGTAGCCTATAGATGATCTATAATGACTAGTTTAACCCTGAAACAAACGCAGGCGCAGCGCTACGTAACGCGGCCACGGCACCGCATGCGCGGCCCTCTACCCTCCCCCCTTTCCTGCTATGCCCCACTACTATACAAAATCGCACTTTGTTTACCAATTGCTGCGATTGACGAACCAGTCGGTCGGCTAACCAAACCGGCAGCGCTCGTTCGTGCGCTTTTTAAATCTATAAAGAGTCGCGCGTCGCCATCGGCGCACGCGACTAATTTCACCGTGGCATGACTCAGTGACGTGACAAAATGAATAAAGCCGAAGTTTCGGCGGAAGCCACCGCACCCAGCGTGGCGATCCACGTGGACCACTATGAGGACCCAGCTGAGGAACATTCAAAGCTTCTAGACGTAAACGCTCCTACACCGATTGTGACGCCCTCTGGACAAATGCGAAAAGTAAAGAGTTTCACCGATACACACAGAATTCGTGATGTGAGTGCCGCTTCTGGAGCAGCATCAGCACGCTGTCTTCGACCTTATGAGCAAGTGGCTACTTATACTGACGGTTCCGACAGCGGTACTAATCAATATGGTGCACAATCGGTCAGATCCTTGGCATCAATTGGAATGGGATGCACAGATGGACGAAAAATGGTTATCAAACGAGTGCCAACCTCGCCTACGGAACTATTCCATCTAGTACGTCCTCCTACGTGAGTATCTTTGCGAGATGACATCCTCAGTGTTGCAATTATTCAATTGCCATAGTTTCTTCACATCCTCCATCTCTTTATTATAAAGCTCTCAGTAATGACTATACAATGAAATTGCACCCTTAAAATCTTACGTTGTCACTTAGATAAAATACACTTACACAATATATTTAGTCAAATGGAAACGTAAATATCTTTACATTAGTGTGGTGTAACGGTTTAATTATAATAATATAGAAAATAGATACATATTATGTACCTACAATAAAAGTGCATATAAATACATATAATTAGTCAAACAATGGTATTACACAGTTGCACCTGACTAGTGAAGTATGGTTATAAATCACAAACAAATACTTACCAAAATATAAAATAATATGCAAGTAATCATTGACTTATTTAACAATGAGTATCTTCCTCATAGCAAATCATTGCGGCGTTATTTATTGATCGTCATTGGAGATGATTTATTTTGTCTGTTTGAGTATTAGTAACCCTGTTTTTATATTGCTAATTAAACATAGTGAATTGCTAATTAAACATATGGTAATTAAACACAGTGGGGGCATATGGCTTTGATACTTTTGGATACTAAACCGGATGCACTCTTACCTGATTTATTCATATTATCTTTTGTGTATTACGGATGTTCATGTTACTCTATTTGATAGAACATATTTCACATACAGTATTCTACCAACTCTACATAATATTAAAGAAAAGCACGTGGTTTGGTTTATTTATTTAAGTACTTAAATTGCTGCAAATCAGTAAGCTATTAAATATTGCTATAGGAAACCGGTACAAATGAAAAATGAAATTAGAAATTGTTAAGCAATTTTGTCAACAGAATATAATAGAGCAGAATAAATACTATGACACTGAATTGTAATAAATATATGATTAGATACGCCTTCTATCTAATCAAAGTTATAAATTTGTTGATTAAAAAGATGCGTTAAATATTTAGATAAGTATATTTATAACGAAGTTAATTTTAAAACTAGCTTGAAGAATATTTTTTAAATATTATTTCACCTTGTTTAATTTAATATATTTATAAAAATCGCGTGTCACGATGTATTTCATTGATAAACTCCGACACTGCCGAACCGATTATAGTCAAATTTCACATATAATTATCTATAATTTGGTCTAACTTAAAAGATAGACAAGTTTTATCTCAATATTTATCTGTATATTATAATTACTGAACCACACCAATGTGTGGTTGTGTCAGCTAGTTAATTATACATATATTTCAAAAGAAATATTGCTACCTACCTACTTTACTAACCGACAGGTGTTACTCATTAACTGAAATAAATATATTAAAACTGAAATTTTAGGTAAAGTTATTGCTTAATATGAATTCTTTGAATACAAGAAAATAAAACGTAGGAACAAATTATATTTACAGAAAAACTAGACAGTCTGTCTGCTCATCTGTTACTAGCTTTTGCAGGCGACTTTATTCGCGTATAGGTATAGTTAGTTATTTTCAATGACAAATACTTATGCATACGAATTTTCACACTTTCACTATTTCAATCGCTTTAACCCCTTCTCCGGGAATAAAAGGTAACCTTACATTTAGGTTACCCTACCAAAGTCAAGTCTACCTCTGCACAATTTATGAAAATCGGTTCAGTCATTTAAGCGTGTTTCGCATTTATAATATTAATAGGGATTAAACGTATGTGCATACGTAAACAAGTAGGTTTAATTAGTTTACTCATATTATTTGGGTACAGTGTTTTAAATACTGTATTTACTTTTTTTTCATGTAATCACAAGGCTGTAAATTACAAGACTTAATGTAGACTTAAGGAACAAATGTTCTTAATATAATGTACCCTTAGTGATAAGATAAATGTTGCCGAATAGGTATAAATAGTATGATTGAATAACATAATCAGAACCCCTATTATATTGGAAAAAATTATTCATATTTATCTCTACAACTGTCACCTACCTTGGAGATATTTAGATCTTTATTTCACTTTAAAGAGTCCTATTATGAAACCTTCTGTTTTCAAGTAGATGCCCTATTGATAAAAAAATAAATATTATATGTAAGTATCCATTTCTGCAACTCCTATTATATCAAGCTACTAGTTCTTATCTATATAAAAATATTATTTTGAACATTTATAAAAAAATATTTCCAGTGTCATTCACATTTAAAGTATATTAATCCCATAATGTTATCCTATTTTTTATTGTATATAACTGAAAATACGCTATTTCTAATTTAATTAATACGTTAAAACTCGAAAAAGGTTGCAACGATTTAGCTGATTTTGATTTTAAATGTTTGTATTATGTAACGCTTCAAGAAAAGAGATATTTAGTTTATTGGTGGTTTTAGGACCCAAAAGTGCGTGCAGGGAAAGTCCGGGCCATCTAGTAATATTATATAACCATTACACATTAAACACAGAGAAGACGTTTTTTCCATAGTTTAGATTAGGTGTAATTTATTTTCGTATTTATAGAATTGTTAAAATTAGTTTACGTTTTCTTCAGTTACCGTTAAGTTTATTTTTAAATAAAATAGAAGATAATTAGCATATGTCCGAAGTTAGAGGCGCGTGTTCGTTCATTCATTTTATGGTAGAATACAAACATACATTAACCCTAAATAGAAAACCCTTTTTTGGACAGTCATGTGATATATCTGAACATTTTCTTGATCAACGCATCATTCAGGGACTGTTGAGCAATTTTTTTTACGTTCGTCATAGTTGTAACTAAAGTCTTAGGTCCTAAAATATTAATTAAAGAAATCAGTACGAAAATTGGGAAATTTAAAAGTGCTGTTTTTTTATCAAAATTATAAATGTGGTTTATTTATTTTGTCACCAACGTATAATTTTAGTATCTACAAATTTAACTTATTATTTTAAGTGAATTTGGAACCATAGTGCTATCTTAAAATGACATACTTGGAAAATTGATACACCCATAAATAGTTTTGTTAACTTATCATATCTACGATTTTCAGGAAATATATTTTAAGTATTCGAAGTACTGTGTTATGGTTGAATCATACTCGTAAATGGTACATACAATACTATCGAAAACCTTTTTGATTGCAATTAAAAAACTAAAAAGTTTTTAATGCGCTAATTTTTATTTACATAGATTATATATCATGTAGGTGTAGTTAACCTTTTCGACGAACATTGTTGCGCCAGCTCCTGAAAATATAGTTGAGACGAATTTATCATTAAATTTTCATCATTTACATTCCAACTCCAATTGAGAAGTTCGATAGCGCATTCAATAGAATAGTAGTCATAGCATGGATGATTAAAAAATTGTAGCCTATGTCACCAGCTTGTAACGTACCTGTAAATGAATGATCGAATCAATATTTCCGAAACTTACAAACAAACAAACAAACAAAGTTAGAAGCTTTACATCATTATAAATAAGTACAGATCTCGAGTTCTTCTGTGCTTCATCAGTCGTTGGTCCCGACTACATCTGCAAACGTTAACACCCTCGACTCCGCAATTGGCCTATGCGGTAGGTTATTTCCGATTCCATAGGGAAAGCTTGTGCCCCAGGACATCAATAGGTTGATGATGATGGCTGTAATTCTAAACATTTTTACTACCTATCGATAATATCTAAAAATCCATGGTTGTTACTCGTATCTGTAGTCGAGAGAAGTAATCACGTGAGAAAATGTCATAACTTATACACGTCTTATACGTCTATTATTAAATAAGGACAGTTATAATATATTTGGCAAAAATATCTGCGAAATTATATGAAAGTAAGAGTATGAGAATAATGCTCATTCTGATTCTGTTTTCTTTTGGAGTACGTTAAATTTTACGTAAACTCGAGCAGCCCGAACGAGAATGATAAATATGAACGTTATATTAATTAAATCTAATTTTGGATCATTTATCAGTAGCGTTGTTTATAATGATAATAATAACCACCGAAAGTCAGTCTTATTAGTTAACGGCAAATTCCTTAGTCTACAGTGCTCTATCATAAAGATATTTGAAATTGTGTAATATCAATAATTTAGAAACCGAGTTTTTTACGGTCCTAGTATGGATAAACCAAATTGCAAATTGTACAAAAAAATTCAATCATATTTCTAAGTGATTATAAAATCTTAAAAAAAATCAATTTCATCAGAAACAATTTCATGTAAAATGTTGCCAAGACGACACCATGACTCACATCGTCAAAAATCGAAAAGAAAATCGGATCATTAGATCTTATATAATATGTAATTAATATGTAATAGAGCCGAGTTTCTCACTCTACATGCTCTAACTCTGCAATCTTTAACTTTACAAATTCTTAGATGTGACATGACCGCTTCGCTACAGTCACATACTTCTTCATATTAATTGATGCTCTATACTAATATATAAAAAGTAAAGACATGATTTTTGTTTTTGTTGTTCGCATTGAATAGGCTCCCGAACTATTGGAACGATTTTATAAAATCTTTCACCTATAAGAAGTTACATTATACGCGGGTGACATAGGTTATAAGTAACGCAGACGAAATTGCTAGAACACAGCTAGTCTGTCAAAAGTACAATAATAGTCCTTTGAACAACGAAACAGATTGTTTTTTTTATCACTATGAAGCTTTCAATTAACGCAGTTTTTCATCTGGTTATTTTTACCACCGGATATTTTTTATCTTATTATTGAATTCAATATTTTGATTAAAAAATGATAATGTTGGAGACGATATATTCAAGAATAAAAAATATCGAGACCCCTTGTGACTGCTTTGCAAACAAAAATATTTTAGATTTAAAATTCATAATTCAGTTAAATTGCGCAACAAATTATTGAAATCAAAAATGATTAAAACATAGAAAGAATTTTTTTGCTTATTTCATGTTATCCTACAGTTTTAATACTACCAAAATATTTACATATTTTGTACGATCTTTAGGTTAGTCTTTGCTCCGTTTCTTTACCGTAATATTAGTATAGCTGCCCTCTTG